TGCTGGCCAAGATCTTGGCCGAGTTTGAGATTGCTGTAGAGCGTGACATCCTGCAGCCACTCAACAAGCTCAGTGAGGTAGTCATGGCCAACCCCCCGCTCCAGTCTTCCATCTCCAAACCCTTGCCACTCAACTTGGTCCCCCTCTTCCAGGAGGAGCTTCCCATCATCCTGAAGCGCAAGAAGACCCTCCAGAAGCTGATTTCTGACTGGAATGCCATCAAGAGCCGGTATGGAGCACAGTGTGGGAGACCAACTGGGTTGGAGGAGAGAAGCAGACAACTGCCCTCTCCCAGTATGGGGAGCAAATGTCCCAGGGTTCTCCCATTCTTCTCTCCCACTTCAAAGGCTGAACCAAGCTGCCAAAAGTTCCAGTAACAGTGCAGGAGCTGGAGCTGGCCCAGGGGCATCTTCTGCTGCCAACAAACTGGAGATCCTGAAGGAAGAGGAGGAGGAGGTGAAGAGGAAGGTGGAGCAGTGCAAGGTGAGAACATCACTGGCTCTCCTCCTTGGGCAGCTCCAGGGCTGGAGACCTGCTTTTCTCCAGCAGTTCCATCCAGGGTGACTCCAACACCAAGAGCAAGCCAGCCAGCGCAGCCTACCCTGCGCAAGCAACCAGCTTCCCTCCAGCAGTGTGGAAACAGGGAGATGCCCCAAACCTGGGGAAAAACAAAAGTAAAGGATTTGAAGCATAAGCTGTTGCAGAGAGGAGGTTCCAGGGGCTGGAGCAGGGAGAACGTGGGGTGCTGCCAGGCTGAGACCCAGCTGAGCTGGGGTCTGTGCTAGATGACAGGGGGACTGATTCCCATCATCTTTCTACATGTCCACGCTGTTTCCTTTTGAGAGCTTTTTGCCTTGTTTGTCAGAACCTACCATAGCTGGGAGATCCTCTTGTGAAGTTCTAGGGCCTTATGGTAGGACAGGTCACTGCTATGACCTAAACACAAGTGACAGGGGTGAGGAAGGGTCCCCATGCAGCCCCAGCCTGCCCTCCCATCACCCTCCCTGAATGAGGGGCTTCTTGAAGGCATCCCTCTCCCTCGGGTGCCAGGCAGGAGGGGGAAGGATGCTCTTTTTGGTGTCTCCTTTCCCAGGATGAGTACATGGCTGACCTCTACCACTTCTCCACCAAAGAAGACAGCTATGCCAGCTACTTCATCAGAGTAAGTTCTCCTCTTAGCATGTGAATTGTCTCCTGGGGTATGTCCATCCTTGCCTCCATTTGCAGCAAGCCCTCCAGCCAGAGCTTAGTGCCGCATGCACTAGTAGATGGCTCCAAATAGAGCAGTTGTCCCAGTTCATCCCCCTCTCTAATTTGTCTTCTATCTACCACTATAGACATGATCCCACATATCCAGGGGATTTCCTTTGCAGTTCTTCCTGCAGCATCTTTGCTTTCCTTGGTGCTCTCTTCTTATGAGTGCAGTGTCCTGGGGATGGGTCTCTGGAGAGGAGACAGCGCCAAGCTGAGCACTGGCTGTTTGTTCCCTGTCTGGCAGCTGCTAGAAATCCAAGCCCAGTACCACCGGCAATCTCTGGAATCTCTGGACTCGGCTCTGACAGAGCTGAAGGAGAGCCACAGCCAGAAAGGTACCCAATCACTTGCAAGATAGCATGGGAATGGCTGTGAGAACAGCCAGTAAGGCTGGGGAAGGTGGCTTCTTTTCCCCATGCCTGCCGCTGCTTCCTACCATGGAGTGATGGGCACTGCTTCCACCAAGCTAACCCCAGCTTTGGAGTGAGATGCCACCATGGTTGGATACCACCAGGACCCCAATCCCTAAGAACATTTCCATGTCTCCCCCAGAACCCTCCTTCACCACAGAAACCCCAGTGCTAGGGTACTACGGCGTGCCCCTGCAGACACACCTCAAGAACTTGGGCCGAGAGATTGCTCTGCCTATCGAGGCCTGTGTCATGATGCTGCTGGCCTCGGGCATGAAGGAGGAGGTAGGCAGCCCTCACCATCCCACATTCCCTGAAAACACTCCACAGCATCCTGCATCCCTTTGCTCCATCCCCAGGGACTCTTCCGGCTGGCAGCAGGAGCCTCGGTGCTGAGGAAACTGAAGAGCAGCTTGGCCAGTGGCTCTAATGCCCTGGAGGAGTTCTACTCGGACCCTCATGCTGTGGCCGGTGAGTGTGGTGACATGGGGTAGGGATATGGGGGGAGGGTGTGTCACTGCTGTCCCCCAACCTCCATCACCTGCCCACTTCCCCTCCAGGCGCATTAAAATCCTACCTGCGGGAGCTACCCGAGCCTCTGATGACCTTCAAGCTGTACGATGAATGGATCAAAGTGGCCAGGTGGGTCAGGGCTCACAAGCCCAACAGCCCAGCAGCTGTTTGGCCTCTCATTTTGGAGGTGGAAGGAGTAGTGAAGAAGATACAGCAGTGCCCATCATCAGCATCATCAGCCCTTCTACCTCATACACCAAATCCATCTTTGTCCTACAAAGTGGTCTGAGTTCTCCTTTTTTCTCTTCTGCAGCTTAAAGGACGTTGATGACCGGGTACAGAGCCTGAGAGACACCTGCAGCCGCCTGCCCCAGGACAGCTACAACAATTTAAGGTGTTTCTGTGGAATGGGGCTGCTTTGATCCCATGCATTCACCAGGGGCAGCCATTCCCTTCCTCAGTGGGCACTCACTGTTTCCTTGTCCTCTTTTTACCCTGTAGGTATCTGATCAAGTTTTTAGCCAAGCTGGCAGAACACCAGCATGTGAATAAAATGACCCCCAGCAACATCGCCATAGTGCTGGGCCCCAACCTGCTGTGGCCAGAGCAGAGCACAGGGTGAGGTCTGGCTAGGTTGCAGGTTTTCTGGAGAGATGCAGTCCTTCTTTTTGGGCTTTACTCCTCCAAAATTAACATAAAATGGGTTAATTCCCATTACTCCTTCCTTGATGGCTCTCCCACCTCTGCCTCTCAGAGACCCTGTGCAACTGGACTTGGCCTCAGTCTCCTCCATTCAGGTGGTGGGAGTCGTGGAAGCCCTCATCCAGAACGCAGACATACTCTTCCCTGGAGGTAGGCCTTCACTCTGTCTTTCCATCTTTGGGGACCATAGCAGAGGGTGAAGGGAACATAAAAAAAGCACAACAAATAGCAGAAGAATGAAGAGCATCCCAGGCAGCTGCAGTTCCCTGCTACAGAGCCTGCTTCTGGGGCATGAGGCATCCTCAGTGTTTAGCAGGGGTGCAGTAAGCACTTCTTTGCTTTTCTCCCCATGCAGAGATAGATTTCAATGTCTCAGGGATGTTCACACTGCCTGCGGATGTCAGACTCAATGAGGCTGCCCCGGTAGACGAGCTGCCACCAAAATCCCCCCCAGCCTGCTCTCCATCTCCCCTGGATGAAGAGGCGTAAGTCTGGCAAGGGGGCTCCTGACCTCTATTCCACCCCCTCCCCACAGGCTGCAAGGCCAGGACCACCATGCCCCATGGTGCTGGCTCTAACCATCATCTGAACACCCAAATATCCCCTTCTCCTCCAGCACAAATGACTCTGAAGTGAGCTCCCAGCCACTTTCCCCAGTGGTGACGAAGCCATCCCCTGAAGCCACAGTGCCGCCAGCTCCGACACCAGCCAATGACACTGCCCGCAAAGGTTAGGACATGGAGGCACAGTGCTTGGGAGATGCCTACAGGACCGACACCTCCACTTTCTCCAGTTTATCCTTATTTCACCACATCCTGCAGGACGGGGTACATGGGCCACCACATGGGAGGAGAAGGGCCTCAATCTGTCCCCTTGTTTTCTGCTCTCCATCCCCAGCGAAGGCGGGACTTTGGGATGGAAAGCACTCCATTCAAAGCTCATGTCCCACTGCGAACTGAAAAGGGTGGGAAAAGACCCAAAAAAGTGGGATGTGCTCTGTCTGACCCACATGGGGCCCTGCTACGTTAGCTATGCAAGGAGCATCTTGTCCCCCACCCTACCTGAGACCCATAACATGATCCCCCTCTGCTCTCTTTCCAGCCAAGCGGCCGGCTCCATCTCGACCCACAGGGCCACCGCCTGTAGCCCAAGCCCGAAGCATGATCCCCGACCACACTGCCAGCCCCAAGGCCCGGCCGCGACGGCTGGAAGCTCCGTCCATCCCTCCACCACTGCCCCCACAGCCGGCACCGCGCCACAGCCGTGAATCCCTCACGTCCCCGGGGCCTCCCACCACCAATACACCAGACTGCACCGCGGATGAGAGGACGGCAGAAGGGCAGAGCCCCTCGGCTGGATCAACAACAGTGGAGAACGACTGAGCAAGGCGCGGGGCTGCCATCAGCTCCCACATGCCTCCCCTTCTTCATCCGCCGCCATCAGCCTTCCACCTTGCCCCATCCAACTGGGCAGCAGGGCCCAGACCTCTGCTGGTCCCCCCCTCAGCCCACAGACCCTCATTCTCCTCCAGGGAGGGAAGGGAAGGCCCCTGCGGTATTTCGGCTGTGGGTGAGAAATGCCTCATCGGGCAGAGCCCCACACCAGGGCCTGGCGCGGCTGCAGGTGGGCGCGCAGCCGCCATTTTGCCTCACGTTGCCTCAGAGCCCGTCACCTCGAGCCCACGACCAGGTACGGTTGGTTTGCCTGTGAGAAGATTCTATTTTTTAAGAAGATATATATGCCTGCGCACACACGTGGATATGTATATGTCTGTGCGTATCTTGACTACGTGATTTCAAGAGACGCGACGCGAGCGCCGCCACGGCACGGGGCGGGATGGCAGCCCGACCACCTCTGTAACGGCGGTTGCGGCTGCTCCAGCGAGCCGCGGGGTGCCCTTGGCCAATCAGCCAGCGCGCCCTAGCTCCGTCCCGCCTCCCCGCCGCCTTTCTGGGCAGCCGATAGGACGGCGAGGCTGTCGCTTCTCCCTCCGCTCGACCACGCCCCTCGCCCTGCAGGCGATAGGTCGGCGCCGCCGTCACTCTTCTCTCCACCCGCCTCCCATTGGCGGAGCCGTGCCGGCGGGCGGTGCCGCTCGGCGTCGGGGCGTGGCGCGGCGCGGCGGCGGCCGTTGGCGGCGGCATGGCGAGCTGCCGGCGGCTGAGCGGCGCGGCGCTGCGGGAGGTGCTGGGCTCGGCGCAGGGGCTGCTCTTCGACTGCGACGGGGTGCTGTGGGCGGGCGAGTCCGCCGTGCCCGGCGCTCCCGAGCTGCTGGAGCGGCTGCAGCGCAGCGGCAAGGCCGCGCTCTTCGTCAGCAACAACAGTCGGCGCTCGGTGGCCGAGCTGGAGCTGCGCTTCAGCCGCTTGGGCTTCCGCGGCGTCCGCGCCGAGCACGTCTTCAGCTCCGCGCTCTGCTCCGCGCTCTTCCTCCGCCAGCACCTCCTCAGCGGAGGAGGGGCGGGCGACGGCAGCGCGGTGAGCCGCGTCTTCGTGCTGGGCGGCGAGGGGCTGCGGGGCGAGGTGCGGAACGCCGGGCTGCGCCTGGTGGGAGAAGGCGAGCAGGGAGCGGAGCAGGTGCACGCCGTGCTGGTGGGCTACGACGACCAGTTCACCTTCGCCAAGCTGGCCCAGGCCTGCGCCTACCTGCGAGACCCGCGCTGCATGCTGGTGGCCACCGACCCCGATCCATGGCACCCGCTGAGCGATGGGCAGCGAACCCCCGGTGAGCCCCGCAGCGCCCTTGTGTGGTGTGGGGCTTGTGAGAGGCTGGGGGTGTGAAGTCTGGAGAAGAGGAGCTCAGGAGGGACGTTATTGCTCTCTGCAAAGGGGGTTGTGGTGAGGTGGGGGTCGGCCTTATCTCCCAGGTAACAGCAATAGAGCAAGAGGGAATGGCATCTAGTTGCATTGGGGCAGGTTCAGGTTGGATATTAGGGAAAATTTCTTTGCCAAAAGAGCGGTGCTGCAGTGGCACGGGCTGCTCAGGGAGGTGGTGCAGTCACCGACCCTGGAGGTGTTCCAGAACCGTGTGGATGTGGCACTGAGGGATGTGGTCAGTGGGCATGGTGGGGATGGGCTGATGGTTGCTCCAGGTGATCCTAGTGGTCCTTTCCAACTGAAATGATTCTATGACTGGGGCTGAGCTCCCCAGCTCACGGCCATGTCGTGGTGGTGGGATTGGCTGTTGTGTTGGCCATCAGAAAGGTGCACAAGATTCCCTAAGCAGCAGGGCTGCTGGAATTGCTGTCATGCCTTTCTGGGCTTATTAGTTGAGAGATTGAACATAAGGCAGCAGTGTGCCCAGGTGGCCAAGAAGACCAATAGCATCCTGACTTGTATCAGTCATAGCACAGCCAGCAGGAACAGGGAGGTGACCATCGCTCTGTACTCAGCAGTGTGAGGCTGCACCTTGAGTGCTTTGTTCAGTTTAGGGCCCCTCACTACAAGAAGGACATTGAAGCCCTGGAGTGTGTCCAGGGAAGGACAACAAAAGTGGTGAAGGGTCTGGAGCACAAGACTTATAGGGGGTGGCTGAGGAAGCTGGGGTTCAGTTCAGTCTGGTGAAGAGGAGGACAAGAGGAGATCTCATCACTCTCTACAAAGACCAGAAAGGAGGTTGTAGCAAGTTCAGGGTCAGCTTCTTCTCTGAGGTAACGATGATAGGACGAGAGGGATACACCAAGGGAGGCTCAGGTTGGATACTGGGGAAAATTTTTTCTCTGAAAGAGCAGTGCTGCAGTGGCACAGGCTGCCCAGGGAGGTGGTGCAGTCACCATCCCTGGAGGTGTTCCAGTACCGTGTGGATGTTGGCACTGAGGACATGGTCAGTGAGCACGGTGGGGATGGGCTGGAGGTTGGATGAAGTGATCTTAGAGGTATTTTGGAGCCTTAATGATTCGATGACAGGATTCTCACTTGAGCTACCTGCACCTATGTCTTTTTCTTCCCTTTCCCCCCCCAGGGACCGGCAGTCTCACAGCTGCAGTGGAAACAGCTTCAGGCCGCAAGGCGCTGGTGGTGGGAAAGCCCAATACCTACATGTTTGATTGCATCGTGGAGCGTTTTGGTATTGACCCATCCCGTACCCTCATGGTGGGAGACCGTCTGGAGACAGATATCCTCTTTGGCAAGAACTGCGGCCTCTCTACCATCCTCACGCTGACGGGTGTCTCCCGCCTGGAAGAGGCACTGGCCTACATGGCCAGCGACAGTGCTGCTGCCAAGGATATGGTGCCCAATTACTATGTAAACAGCATTGCAGAGTTGATACCAGGCTTGGATGAGTAGTGGTCTTTATGTGCGAGAGCAGAGGAGTCGGGTTCCCCATCCCAGATCTCTATCTGTTCCATATTCTCTCTCACCACCCTTTTCCCTCACTTCCTGGTTTCTTCACATTCCGATGCCCTTTTCTGGGGACAGGAGGAGAGGGGGGCAGGGTTAAAGTTGTTTCCTTTCTGCTGAGAGCCACCCATGACAGACAGAGTCCTTTTCTCCCTCATGTGCCAGTACCAGCATCTCTGGGAGAGAGCTGGAGGCCTTGAGGCTGACATGGGGGTCAGAACAGTGTTTTAGTGTGTGGCCTCTCCTGCTGCAGGGGTTAGGGAACAGCTATCTTAACGGTTTTCTCTTAGATAACCAGTGGCGGCCTTTTACTGCTGTCCCTTTGCTCTGTAACTCTTGATGTCTGAGCTGCATCCCTGCAGTCCTTATGGTAATCCCCTCCTTGGGAGGGGAATGGCTGGGGGTATCACCCACTGCCACCCACCCATCTCCATCGGTGCCAGGGTGTGTTGAAGAAGCATTCTGGAGCAGTGAATGAGAGCGTCTCTGCCTCCCACAGGCGAATAAGCGAATGAGAGCATCACCTCATCTCTTGTCTTCTCTCTGCTGTTCCTTAGAGGTGTTTCCCTACCACCCCCTGACCTGACTCGCTTAAAAGCTATGCCAGTATTTGTCAGAAAAGACTGCAGAAAGGGAAAAAAGGCTGTCCTTGTCCCTTTTTTTGTGCCAAACAACTCAGACTCAGTCGGTCTGTGGTTGTACCTTGTTTTCAAGTACCCCTTCTGAAGGGGCTTGTGAGAGAGGGCTCCTAGACCACAGAAGCACAGCAGGAGTGAACTTTATGACTCTCCCCTATTTCCCCTCCTCAGTGGATTTTGCCATGGTGTGGTGAGAGAAAAGGGCTGATGGGGGTCTGTGCTCCAGCTGCTGAGGTGTGGGTATGATGTTGCTATTGTTACTGCTGTGAATGTTGCAGCCCTCAAAATCATTCCTTGCTGCTTCGTCTTTCTATGTTTTTTTTTTTTAATTTATTTATTATACTAACTTATTTATTGTTCAAATATTGTATTATTTGTAAAAATAATGCTTAGTGTTTGAACCAAGGGGACAGGGGGCAGATTCTTTGGGCCTCCCTTACTGTCCATGTCCTATATTGATGTTCTTACACTCACCGTGTTTCTGGATATAATAAAGTGTGAGCGTAGGCTGGAAATGACCTCCTTTCTTCTCCTGCATTCCTATCAAGGTGAGAACGGCTTGGCTGTCTCTGAGCCCTTGAAGATCTCATCTGATCAGGGCATGGAAGATCTCGCTCATAAGTAAATTACTGCTCATGCAGCAGAACTAGATGCAACTTACTAGGATAATTCTTTGTCCTCGGTGTCCTTCTTCCTCCCCTCAGATAACTTGGGGGGGAGGAAAAATTCCAAAAATAAAAGGACATCCAAAGAGTTCTCTGAAGCTTCTCTGTCATCTTAATTGGAGCTCTTTGTATGTGTTTCTCTCTCCCTTTTGTGTCTCCCATCTCCAATTACATGACCAGAGGAATGGTACTTAACAAGCTCCTTATCCATGCTTGTATCCCCAAATAAAGCAAGGCCCAAGATCTAATGTGCTTTGCTAGCTCTGCTTGCTTAATTAGAGAGCCACCCAAGACAAGCGCTGTCTTTAGCCACTGGACTGTTCTTGCCCTTAGTGGGGCCGAGATCAGCAATACAGGGATCCATCAGACCTGCCAGACTGGTTTTTCTTGGCTTCCCTCTGCTGCTATCACTCCTGTGCATAATGAAAGTGAGCATGGGTAGATCTTATTAGAAAACAGATGCCCTCCCACTGTCCTGATGGATGGTGAGTTCTCTATCCAAGCCCTTCAGATGTCCGTTCATCTTGAGCTAAGACCTCTGGTGCTGAGGGGTCTTTAGGTACCACATCTGCTATTGAAACTGAGATAAGTGATGGCTTTCTGCCTGGATAGATTCATTTCTTGGTGGCTAATGAAATCACACGGTTGCCACAGAGAACAAGTCTGTGGAGAACGAAGCTGTGGAAACGCATGGGAGGATGGGGTGGATGGAAGCTTGTTTGGTTGCTCTATAGAAAATATTCCTTTCCTCACCTTTGGAAAACTGCACCATCCTTCTGTGCAGTAAGGACAAGAGCGCAATGAGGCACATGGCAGCTGTTCGTTACCCAAGGTGCTCCAAATTCTTTGTGTAATTGTGGTTACTGTGGCAACTGCTGGGCGGTGATGCTAGCAGCAATTGCAGAGCATCACCTGCTCTGGGCAAGACTGAGGGAGAGACCTGTGTCCATTTGTCTGAGCATAATGTGATTTGAAGGCAAGCCTCCAAGGAGGAGAGTCCACAGCCTCTGGGCAACATGTGCCAGTGCTCCATCACCCACACAGTGAATAACGTTTCCTGATGTTGAGATGGTTCCAATTTGTGCCCATTGCCTTTTGTCCTGACACTGGGCACCACTGAAAACTGTTACCCTTTCTTGCTCTGAGGGCATATTGCTGACTCATGTTTAACTTGGTGTCTACCAGGATCCCCCACTCCTTTCCTACCAAGCTGTTTTCCATACTTGCCCATAAGCAGGACTTCTCATTTCCCCTTGATGAACTTCACCATGTTTCTGTCATCTCATTTCTCCAGCCTCTTGAGGTCCCTCTGGATGGCAGCACAAGCCTCTGTTCTGTGAGCTGCTCCTCCCAGTTCTGTGTCAGCTGCAAATCTGCTGAGGATGTGCTCTGCCCCATCACCTTGATCATTAATGATGTTATATACAGGACTGGCCCCAGTACTGACTCCTGGGGAGCAGTAGTAGTTAATTCTAATAACTAGTGGACTTATTGCCACCGATCACTGCTCTCTAGATTCATCCATTCACCTAGTTTTTGACCCACCTTGTTGTCTCCTCATCCAACCTGTACTTTGATTCAACCTCTATAAAGCATCTTATGGGAGGCAATGTCATAGGCCATACTGATGTTTAGATAGACAATATCCATGCTCTCCCACCACCTACCAAGCTAGTCATTTCATCCTAGAAGTATATCCACAGCAGAAAGATGACAAATCGGTCTAAAGATACTGATCAGTGAGCAGATGCCTTTAATATGAGGAACTAATAATCACGGGCTGGGATGTTGTTAGTGTTCAGCCACATGAGATGGTAAAAGAAAGGGAAGGATCTGGCAGGTGTTGGGACTGGCAGGGTAGGGAAGATTTGTTGCATGGGAAAGTTCCATTGGAGCCAGGACAGGCTCATGATCACAGGAGCTCGCTCGATACTTGCCCAACCTGTAGTGAGAGTGCCCCTTTGCCAAGGCAGGCACCTCGGCACCACCCTGTACCACAGCAGCCGGTGTGGGGGAAAGGAGGAGGTGATGGCAAGAGGCAGCAGCCTGTTCCTGCCTGCCCTGGGGAGGCAGCCAGAATCTGCCCTCCCTCCAGCACTGCGGTTGGGTTCCTCCTCTCCTGGATGCTTTGCCACTCCTTGTTCCTTACGCAAGGTGTGGTCCCCTCCTCTCCATCCTTCTCAGGTACCCCGTTACCATTCCCATGTCATCTATTCCTTCTTTATGGGCTCTGACCCAAGCAAGCTTGCCAAGCAGCCCAAGACTTGTGTGGTTGTTAGACTTTGCCTTGGAATAGCGCACAAATAATGTGTGCTCCTGGTAGACAGGCTATTTTGGCTCTCCAGACAATCCCTGCAAGATGCTGAGCAGCTGAACCAGTTGAGAGCAATTAAAAGCCACTAATAATCATGCCAGCCTAGAGAGTTCTATCAGGCTGTTTCAGTGAACCACTGCAGCCAAGCACTGGCAGCTCTGTAAGGCTTGAGCATGGAGACAAAGGAGGTGATGCAGCACACAGTCCCAGGACACTTGCTGATCATGACTTAACATCCTTTGGCCTAATGCATTGAGGCTGCTGATTCAGCTGACTGTGAGCAGAGCCCAGGAGTAGTGTGAAGCAATGCCAGGCCCTGGTGTTGCACCCACAAAGTTTCAGAGGTGGAGGTATGAAGGATGGCACTGTGCTTCCATTTGCAACCAGGGAATGATGTGTCTGTACAGACTGGGTCACCTGGAGACTGGCACGTCTCATGGGATGAGCTGGCTGTACCCCTCCAGCAGAGCTCAGGCTATTTTAGCTCACTGCCTTGTAATCCACCACAGGCAGTCTCATGAACTGCCTTCCCTCAGCAGTTTCAGGGGTGAGAGGCCCTGCGTCATGGAGCAATGCTGTACTGTGACTCCCATCTGGCCATAGGTTTGCCCTCCAGCCAGCATCGCTGGAAACCTACCTGCTGGTGCAAGGTTTTGAGCTGCCTTCTACTCAGTTACCTGTATGGACAACCCGATGTTGCTCAGGAGATGCTCAGGAGAACTATCTCCAGAAGTAGTCTTTCTCACCCCCAAGGCCACTTTCCACTCACAGGTGTCATAGAAGCATAGAATGGCTCAGATTGGAGGGGAACTTCAAACCCACACAGTCCCACCCCATGCTGTGGGCAGGGCTGCCACCCCCCAGCTCAGCTGCCCAAGACCCCATCCAATCTGGCCTTGAGTCTCTAGGGACAGGGCACCCACAGCTTCTCTGGGCAGCCTGTGCCAGTGCCTCACTGCTCTCTGAGTGAAAGATTTTCTCCTAAAACCGAACCTAAATCTCCCCTCTTTTAGTTGCCTTTCTCCTTTCAACTACAACTATCAGCAACCGCTCCCTGTAAGTTCCTTGTACAAATGGGGTGTGAGCCATGCACCCCTGCCACCATCCACTCCACCAGGCACCAGCTCATATCCCTTAAGATACCAGAGGCCTCAGTTGCCACGAGTTGTCTCTCATGGCAAGAGAAAAAGAATGCAATTAGGTAGAAAGGAGTTGTTCCTTTTGAAACTGTTTCTCTGCCTGCTTCCCCCCAGCCCCATTCAGCAACAGTTCACTCACCCATGTTTCCAGCTTGGGGCTGCTGGCAGCCAACAAGCACAGGGCTGCATCCCAGGGAGTGAACAGCGTGCAGTGCAGCTGCCAGCCCCGCAGTACGTCTCCAAGTCACGGCTGTGCTTTGTGTGCACTTAATCAGCTCCATCTGGGCCAGCCTGCAGCGTTTGGCATCATCCGTCATGCCTCCCCTTACTTTGTGCCCAGCCACGGTGCCCCTCTGTGCCATAGAGTTTCAAAGCTGAAATCACCACTCACCCACCCATCATTCTTTCTTCCAGGTAACGTGATAAGACGAGAAGTGATCACCTCATGTTGCACCAGGGGAGGTTCAGGTTGGATATTGGAAGAAATTTCTTCTCTGAAAGAGCGGTGCTGCAGTGGCACAGGCTGCCCAGGGAGGTGGTGCAGTCACCATTCCTGGAGGTGTTCCAGAACCGTGTGGATGTGGCGCTGAGGGACGTGGTCAGTGGGCATGTTGGAGATGGGCTGGAGGTTGGAAGAGGCGATCTTAGAGGTCTTTTCCAACTGAAATGATTCTATGATCTTGGTTTAACTCTGAGGGATACTCTCCTGTCCAGGGCTTTTCACATCCTCCCACTGTACTGTAAATGTGGCCAGAGCTCTGGTTTCCCAAAGTGGAAACAGTGACTCTGTGAGGAGCTGGTCAGCATCCAGGACCAGTCTTCGAGAGCATCCCAGCTGGCTGCCTCGGTTTAAAGAAGGTTGAGCCCTGCGTTTTGAGGCTGGCCTGACCCCAGCCTCTGTAACCCTGGGACTCCCCTTGCTCAGCTTACCAGGGGCTTATTAAGTTGGAGGAAGCCCTAGACCTGGGAACAAGGTTTCAGCGAACCCACCCTAGTACAGATATTGACATTGCTCAGACCACAACATGCACACAGGCCAGGAGCAAGTGGTTGATTCTTCCCAAGACACAGAGTGGCCCCAATTCAAGAAAGCCTGGTTCCACGTCCCCTTACTTCTTTGCTTCTCCCTTATGTAAGAGCTATAGTTAATGCCAATCTCTTCCATGTCCTCAAGAGAGGGCTTGGGACCCCAAGGGCGGCTGGGACCTCAAGGGTGACCACATAAAGTCCTGCATGGGGAGGAGGCCCCTTTCAGATCTCTACTAGTTTCCCTCCCCTTTACCCTGAAAGAACAGGCAAAGGGAAACAACCGCCTTTGTTTCTGTGCTGAGAATGGCATTTCTCCCTGCATCTTGTCAGGGGCACACAAAGTCCCCAAAGGCATCGGGAGCCCTGGC